CAGCATTAGGAAGGTTGAGAATCACTGCTCTATACAGTGGTGCAGCTGACTCACTCCCAGGTGGAAATGGAATAAACATACAACTCTGAATTGAGTACTGGGGAGGCCAACTCCCACCTCTGCCTTAGGGACTTCAGCTGGGGACGCCCTCCTACCTGTCTATCAGACAACATAGCATGCAACTCCTTTTAGCTACCAGCTCTCTGGTACCCTCATCCCATACTCCTTTAGGTCTTTCTTACCACCACTACCCTTCAATGTAAACATATTACCGACATCCTCAGCCTCTTGCCTTCACTGTCCACCCTCAAAAGCACCCAACTCCCCAGGCACTGATATTCCAGTCCTTCATGTGGCCTGGCCCATGTGTGTACTTGAGCAGATGAACTCCGGCTTCCATGTCAGACACGAGTCTGCAATAGATGGATCACTGCTCACCTAAACTACTGTGATAGCTCTCATTTCCGCAGGTTTTGCCTTTCTCCCCCCCACACCACCCCCGCCACAAATCCATCCATGTAGCTGTAAGTGAGCTTCCTAAAAATCAGTTCTGATTATGCCTTTCCCTGCATAAAATGCTCCAGGTGCCACCATGGCCTACAGGACCAAGCCCAAGTGCCTGGGGCAAGGCTCTCTGGGATCTCCGCTGTTGGCTCCCCTAGCCACTCCTCCTGCCACACTCCTACCTCATGGCGTGTTCTAGTAATTCTGAATCGTTGTTCTCTGCCCTCCTGACACCAGTTCACACCTTTGTGCCTTTATCTGTACTTCCCTTCCTGTCTAAAATCTTTTCCTCTTCTTGTCTGCCTGGGAAACTCCTATTCATCCTTCAAAGTCCTATTCCAAAGATATTCTCACAAACTCAAAGGACCACCCCATATATTTCTTATTAGTTAAAAAGAGGAAAAGTTACCTTTATAATGTAGAAGCCTAGCTAATGCTACTTTAACCAGGTGGTCAAAATTATTGTCATCATTAATAGGACAAACAGATATCATATGCCTCCAATGCAATGTACTGGGAATGACACACTCTGGCGATATTCTTGCCAAAAATATTTCACCTGAATCTAATCCAGAAGGAATGATCAAAAGTATCTAAATTGAAAGATGTTCTGCCCGGCTGGCATGGCTCAGTGGTTGAACATTGACCTATCAACCAGCAAGTCGTGGTTCAATTCTAGGTCAGGGCATATGCCTGGGTTGCAGGCTTGATCCCCCAATGTGGGGCGTGCAAGAGGCAGCCAATTAATGATTCTCTCTCATCATTAATGTTTCTATCTCTCTCTCCCTCTCCCTTCCTCTCTGAAATCAATAAAAATATATTTAAAAAATTTAAGAGAAAGAAAGATGATCTGCAAAACTGACCTCAATTCTTCAAAAATGTCAGTGTCAAGGAAGACCAAATCAAAGCACAACAAAACAACAGGCTTGGGAACTGCTCCAAATTAAAAGATGCTAAAGAATCATGACAACTAAATGCAACGTGTGATCCTTGATTCCATCCTGAATCAAACAGGGGTAGGGGTGGGGTGGAAATCAGGTACAGATAGCATTATTGGGAGGATTGGTGAGTTTTGAATATGGATTATATATTAGACTAACGGCCCGGTGCACGAAATTTGTGCACAGGTAGTGTCCCTAGGTCTTGGCCGGCGATCAGGGCTGATCAGGTTCCCTGCCTCCCCGCCTCCCAGCCTCCTCCTTCCCTCACTCCCTCAGCACCCTGCCACCGCTGGCCACCTGCCATGTTCTGCGCTGCCCCCTGGTCATAGCAAGCAATCGAACTCCCGGTCTTGCAGTCGAACTCCCGAGGGGACACTTTGCATATTAGCCTTTTATATAGAGAGATTATATATAGAGATAATAATGTCGGGTCAATGTTAAATTTCCCAAGTATAGTCAATGTATTGTGGTGATGTAGGAAAATGTACTGTACTTGTTCTGAGGAAATATGTACTGAAGGGCTGAAGTGTTGCTGTATCTCCATTTAACAAGCAATGGTTCAGCAAAAGAAACAAGCAAACAAATATGTGTGTTTGTATATCTAAATAGGAAAAAAAAAGGGGATGTGGTGGTGAAGTGTTAACAACAGAGGAATTATTGGTGAAGGGTAGAGGGGTATTCATTGTTCTATTCTTCCAACCTTTCTCTCTGTTTGACATTTTTCAAAACAAAAATTTGGACAGCTATTCTGCCAGTAGAGTGGCCTCCCCTCTGCCTCACTGCTACACTAATAAACACTCTTTCACTTTAAAAAAAACTTGGACAGAATAAATAATAAAAACAAACAAATGAACCAAAAGCTTTGTTCTGGGTCATGTTTTCTGTGTAGAATTTCTTAACCCTCCCCTACTGCCCCCAGTCCTCAAACACACACACATAACACAATGAATCACCCTCTCTTCTGGACTCTTTCACGATTATCTATTGCTCTGACCGAACTGTAACCTCTTTGATTTCTGGGCCTGTGTGTTGTGTTGGATCTACACAATGCCTGAACTGTACCTGACACAGACTGGATGCTCAGTGGATGCTTTTTAAAAAATTGTTCAGGCTGAGTCTTGAGGCTGGGATAGGCTCCAGGAAGCAGACAGGAGCGAGAAAGGAATGGGGTGAGCAGAGGTAAGGAAGCAGGAATGGATATTTTGTATTTACCAAGAACATTTGATTTTCTTGGTCAGAACTGAAGATTTATATAGGTGAAAATGCCTGGCACGCCAGCTTCTTAATAAAAATGTGGTGAATCAATGGATACATGAAATTTGAAAAGCAGACTTAGATCAGATGGGAAAGGGCCTTGACTGCTGAATTGAGGAACCTAACCATTATCTTAGTTCTTGACATGGGAGGTCTTCTCCCAGTGGCAGGAAGAGAGTGTGTCCTTGGGCAAGTCTTTTACACATCTTCTTCCCTAAATAATAAGGAAAAGCAGAGCCAAGTGGGAATCTGAAAGTGACCTGTTTCCAAACTCAGGAAGAGGAAAGATCAACTTACCTACCCAGCCAAAGCCCTATCGTGGAGTTTGATGATATCCAACATCTCTCAGATGAAGGGCATCACAGAATGAATATCAGATGTAAACATAAATAAATACACCTATTTAATACAAGCCATGCTTGTCTTTGGGAAGAGTGGATGAAATGATTTTGGTTAATATTACTACATTTTTAAACTTTAAGAAGCATATATTTATGAAATAACCCTAACACTTTTTAATGGGGTTTCACATTAGCCCATAAATGACAAAGCTCTCATGATGCCTATCTCAAATGTTAGATTAAACCCTTTTAAATAATTTTAGCCCAATTGAGCTCTCCCCAGTAGACAATTTTCTATTTATTCAGGATTTGTGTTTTGTTTTCTTCTGGATAGACTTGTGGGGTCTGACAATTTAAATAATGAAAAACAAGCTGATTATAACAACTGAGAAAAAGAAAAGTGTGTTCTGTTTTGAGGTTATCGTTTCCTTGATCATTCCTAAGCAGACTGGCATCTATTTTATCCTTGTTCGTAGTCACAGTACACCTTTGCATACAACCCGAAATGACGAGGAGCAAGTGTGAAGCAATGTGTCTATTAGCTGCTCGGCAAAATGATTTGTTTAGGTTATAGCTCTTTTGAATCTTCAGTCAAGTTCTACAAAAAGCTTAGCTGAGAGAAAATGTAAGCCTCGGGTAATATGTTTTTAAATCAATTTTTGGCCCAATTATAATGTAGCATTGACTTGCCCCAGAATTTTTAACATTACTGGGAGGAAGCATCAGTGGTGGTCAGAATGATTTGTAGTTTACAAAGCATATTGGCATTCTTTTTCAAGAAAGTAGACAAGATCATTTGAGCTGTTGTTTCAAGTAATAAAGTAAAATCAAGTGATAAATCATTTGGGCCATCTGCACAAATGGACTGAGATACAGCTAAATTAGTCACAACTGTCCACTGCAGACCAACTTTGCCATAGATAAAGGACTAGATATGCCCATTAGCAATATTCCCTTAAAACCAGTCCTAATGTGTTCATAAACAAGAGCATGATTCTATGGCTACAATCAACTGAGATGTCAGGCCAGGCCACAAAGCCCAGCCAAACCCATATCTTACTGCAGGTTTCTAGAGATTAGCATATCACATGAACCAAATGCTGTTCCCCAACTTAAAATACGATACTGCTCCCTTGTAGAAAAGTGTAAGCCCAGCCCGGCCAGTGTGGCTCAGTGGTTGAGCATCAATCTATGAGCCAGGAGGTCACGGTTTGATTCCCAGTTGGGGCACATGCCCGGCTTGTAGGCTTGAGCCCCAGTGGAGAGTGTGCAGGAAGCAGCCGATCAGTAATTTCCTCTCATCGTTGATATTTCTATTTCTCCCTCCCTCTCCCTTCCTCTCTGAAATCAATAAAAATATATTTTAAAAAAGAAAGAAGAAAGAAAGAAAGAAAGAAAGAAAGAAAGAAAGAAAGAAAGAAAAAGTGTAAGCCTGTTCTGCAACACCAGTAAAATAGAAGCATTCATACATATTGTGCTCAGTGTGGTCCAATAAGTAAAACATAAAATAGATATCTGGTAACAGAACATTTTAAAACATCAAGTCAGGTAAGAATTGGGCCTTGGATCTTGAATGTCTACTGTAATTGAAATGTAAAAAAAAAGAATGGGAGTTGGAAAGTAAACGACTATGAAGAAAGCTAAGAATAAATCTGGAAAAGAAAAAGAAAAAAAGAAAAGATCTGGGGTTTCTGTGAAGACCTGGCTGGGAGGCCAAGTCCTCCCTGTGGCAAACTGCGTTGCCATGGGAACCACTGGGCTGGTGGTAGGGGACTGTGACGCTCTGGGGCAGGGAGGGGTTTCTCTGAAGACCTGGCTGGGAGGCCAAGTCCTCCACGTGGCTAACTGCTGTTGCCATGGAAACCAGTGGCGTAGGCAGGGAGGGAATTGTGACGCTTGGCGGCAGGAGGGGTTATAACCAGTAACTTGTCCACCGTCCATCAGACCCCCGCCAGAGGCTTCGCAGCACTGCAGTGGGAGGGGTGCTCCCAAACCGGCCCAGAGACACCTTGCCAGCCGCCTCGATGACCACACCACCGCGACCACCATCACCATCACCACCACCACCGCCACCGCCGCCACCACCACGTTCCGTGCCAACCGAGGCCCTCCCACAGCCCTTGAGGACCCGTGGACTATCTCAGCTGACCAGCAGCCTCTACATAGGTAATGCCGTGGCCGCTAACAACAGGTACCTGCTTACCACCAACCGTATCACCACCGTCATCAATATCTCTGTGGAAATCGTCAACACGTTCATTGAGAACATTCAATACGTGAAGGTACCTGTGCCCGACTCCCCCAGAGCGCGCATCAGCGATTTCTTCGATGCCATCGCGGACTACATCCATGGAGTGGAGCTGTGCCAGGGCCGCACGCTGGTGCACTGCCACGCGGGCATCAGCCGCTCCTCCACCGTGTGCATGGCCTACCTGATGAAATACCACTCGCTCTCGCTCCACGAAGCGCACATCTGGACCAGGGCCTGCCGTCCGGTGATACGCCCGAACCACGGATTTTGGGAGCAGCTGATTGAGTATGAATTCAAACTGTTCGCCAGAAACACCGTCCGGATGATTGACTCCCCCCTGGGGAGAATCCCGGATGAATACCAAAAGGAGTTTCAGCTGATGATGTTCCTGTGAGCCACCCTGCCCAGCTCCTGTCACCTGCTGTGGATCCACATCATCATGAAACTGTGACTGTTGAACTTGGGTCCCCATGGACAACCCAATGACTTTTAGACGGGCAAGCAACAAGGGGGGCTGCTGAAGTCTTTGGCTTGTGTGACCCTCATCTGCAAAGAATAAAATCAAGTCAATGAAAGATGGTGTCAGTGTTTCTTATCCTGCGCGCAGCTGTCCAGCCTGCTAGGGCCTGGCCAGAGAGGAGGGTGGGAAGGTGGTGCCCAGCTCAGACGGGCCTGCATCTGGGCCCTGCCTGATCCTGACTAACCCAGGAGTGATACGCGCCCCCCCACCCCAATCTCTCCACAACCCCCCACACCACCCCAGAATCCTGCCTGGTTCTTCCCATGCCAAAGTCACGGGGTTTTCTGGGGGCTTGGGCGGAGTCTCAGGCCAACCTGGCCCTTCCCTTCAACCACAGTGGCTGAACTCTGGATTTCTAGATTGAATTTACCTATCAAGTAGTTTTCAAAGAAACCATTCCACTATATAAAGTTTAAAAATCTTTTTTCACACAATGGGGTGGGGAGCACTTGGGGAGGGGACGGGAGTGGGCTGGAAGAGGTTAATGGGGGGAAAGGAGGAACCTCTGTAACACTGTCAACAATAAAGATAAATAAATAAATAAATACATACATACATAAATAAATAAAATTTCAAGTTCTGTACTAGATGCCAAGGCCTCAAGATACCCTTTGCAACTCTAATCCCCTTATCCGGGGCGAGTGATGAGAGAACAGGCCCGACACCAGGCCTCAGAGGTTTCTCTTATGGGCCTTGGCTGGAGCTGCTGCTGGCTAGGACACAGTCCTGTCACCACTGACACTTCCTCCCACTGTGACCTGGGAGGGGCAGGGGGTGTCTCAGAGCCTGTTTCCTCACCTGTCAAAGCAGTGACAGCCCACATCTCACAGGGTAGTTGTGAGGTGTAGATTCCTTCGCATGAGAGCGAGCACAGGAATGGTTCCATGGTTGGAGTCAGGGCTGCCCCTGCTGGGTGGGGATCAGCACATTCATCCTCACAATGACATTTCCCCCATCTGCGCACAGCTCTTTGTTATCCACAAAGTGCTCTTCCGAAAACACATCCTGTCTGTGAAAACAAATGGTTCAAGGTTCCTTAGGATTCTACCTCAGAGGAGGCCTAGATTTAGAGGCTTTTCAGGGTTCCCATTGTGTCACTCTGTTTAATTTATTCACAAGCAAGAAGCACAATTCCAGCACCCACCACCCCCCAACCACCATCACCAAAGGCCTTGTTTATTTTTTATATTTTTATTGATTTCAGAGAGGAAGGGAGAAGGAGACGGAGATAGAAACATCAATGATGAGAAAGAATCATGGATTGGCTGCCTCCTGCACGCCCCACACAGGGAAGGGACTGAGCCCACAACCTGGGCATGTGCCCTGACTGTGAATTGAACCGTGAACTCTTGGTTCATAAGTCGATGCTTAACCACTGAGCCACGCCACTGGGCCAAACGCCTTGTTTAGAATCACTGACCATTAAGAGCCAGCGCTCTAGGATCCACCAGGATCCATGGAGGAACTTGCCAAAGGGACAAATGAGTGGTCCCCAGAAGTAGGCCCTGGAATACAGAATTGTTTAAACTCCCCAGGTTCCTGGCTCTGGCTTGGGAGCAGCTATTCTAATCCAGAGGATTTTAGACAAGAAATACATGAGATAACAGCACAACTACTTCTGTTGACACAGACCTATGGGTCCATAGCCCAGTGGAGTCCGAATGCCCTTTCTTTCCAAAGCCACCCTCACCCCCAATTCCACAAAAGGAGAGCCCAAGGATGCAACTGGGGGTGAGATGGGGTGACGTGGGGGCTTATGAAAACCACTGCTCTAGACAGATCCCCTCCTTTTACAGATGGAAGAACAGTCTCGCTGAACCCAAGGGCTGGTGTGGCAGAGCCCCCACAAAGCAGCCTTTCTGGCCGAAACCCAGATGAAAAGCCTTCCTTGCCTCTTCCTAGTTTCTGGTGATTGCTGGCAATCTTTGGTGTCCCTTGGCTTCTAGAAGCATTGTTCTGATCACATGACCATCTTCCCTAGTGTGTCCTCACATATGTCTTCCCTCTGTGCATGTCTGTGTTCAAATGTCCCTCTTTAAAAAAAAAAAAAATACGTGCACTGGTAGGGTTCCTAGTGGCTGCCGGCTGCCGGCTGCCAGCCGGGACGTCCCTCCCTTCCCCCTGCTGGTCCCAGCCCCTGGTAGACCTCCCGGACGAACTCCTGATTGAGGAGACAATTTGCATACTATGCTTTTATTATATAGGATATCCTATATAATAAAAGCCTAATATGCTAAGTGTCCAGTCATCTGTTCAACTAATCAAAGCGTAATATGGTAATGATATGCTAAGGCTGCTCAACGGCTCATTATGACGTGCACTGACCACCAGGCGCAGACGCTCTGACTGGCAGGTTAGCTTGCCGCTGGGGTCAGGCTGATCAGGACTGAGTGAGATGGGCCGGACACACCCTGGAGCCCTCCCGAGGACCCTCCCCAGCTGGCCAACCTCCCTCATCCCTCCCCGGCCCCATCATGCACCGGTGGGGTCCCTCGGCCTGGCCTGCACCCTCTCGCAATCCGGGACCCCTCAGGGGATGTCAGAGAGCCAGTTGTGGCCCAAGCCCGCAGGCCAGGTCGAGGGACCCCACTGGTGCACGAATTCATGCACCGGGCCTCTAATCCTAATATATAAAAACCCAGGGTCCGTAACATCCAAAACGACCAAAGGCTCAACTGACTGCCACCACTGTGGGCGCCCTGACCCAGCACTGACTGCCGAGGGGGCTGCGGATCAGGCCCAAAGAGAGGCCTGGAGAGAAAATAAGGGTCTGATTCGTAGCCTCTGTAGCAGTTGTTGATCAGCACTTGCCTCTCTCTATTGCTCTGGGCCTGGCCAGCAGCCGCACCTCTCTTTCTCTCAGGCCTCCACTGGGGCTGCTGATCAGCCCGCCTCTCTAATCAGGCCCATTGATAGGCCCAGAGATGCTGATTGGCATAGAAACCAACCAATCAGAAACAAATCTGGGTGAAGTGTGAGGAGCCAATGGCTGCCTAGGAGGCGGAGCTTTTGACGCTGACTGGCATAGCAACCAACCAATCAGAACCAAATCTGGGTGAAGTGCGAAGGCAGAACCTAAGGTGGAGGCTGAGGAGGGGTTTTAAGGGCAACAGCTGTTTGGTGTAAGTTGTAAGAAAGCAGTTCAATTTTTTAATGACCAGTTTGGCAGTATAGTGCATATTGGCTGGCTATCAGTCCAGATATAGGGGTTATGTGCTTTTGTCTGCCAAGAGCATCTCCTCCTGCTGAAAAAGGCTCCCCCACCCATTTAAGCAAACCTATCCAATATAATCTATCTGTACTACTAAAAGGGTAATATGGTAATTAGACCGAGTAGACCAGCCATCTTCTGGACGTCTAACTTCCTTCTGGACAAAGCCATGGTGGTGGGGGCTGAGGCAGAGGCCGTTAAGGGCAATCAGGCTGGCAGGGGAGGGCAGATGGGGACAACATCAGGCCTGCAGAGGAGTGCAGTTAGGGGCAATCAGGCAGGCAGAGGCAGTTAGGAACAATCAGGCCGGCAGGGGAGGTCCGTTGAGGGCAAGATCAGGCCAGCAGGGGAGGGCAGTTGGGGGCAAGATCAGGCTGGCAGGGGAGGGCAGTTGGGGCGAGATCAGGCTGGCAGGGGAGGGCCGTTGGGGGCAAGATCAGGCTGGCAGGGGAGGGCAGTTGGGGGCAAGATCAGGCCAGTCCTGCAGTCAGTGCTGGGTTGCCCACTGCTGCCGGTGTGGGCACAGCGACCCAGCACTGACTGCCAAGGGGGCTGCGGATCAGGCCCAAAGAGAGGCCGGGAGAGTCAGGGTCTGATCCGCAGCCTCCATGGCAGCTGTTGATCAGCGTTGCCTTTTTCTTTCTCTCTGGGCTTCGCCAGCAGCCGCGACTCTCTTTCTCTTTATCTGCAGGCCTCTGTGGGGGCTGCTGATCAGCCCCACCTCTGTGATCAAGCCCGGAGATAGGCCCGGAGACACTGACTGGCATAGAAACTGACCAATCAGAACCAAATTGACCTGCAGGGGAGGGCAGTTGGGGGTGAGATCAGCCCAGCAGGGGAGGGCAGTTAGGGGTGATTAGGCAGGCAGAGGCAGTTAGGGGCAATCAGGCCGGCAGGGAAGGGCAGTTGGGGGCGAGATCAGGCCAGCAGCGGAGGGCAGTTAGGGGCAATCAGGCAGGCAGAGACAGTAGGGGACAATCAGGCTGGCAGGGGAGAGCAGTTGGGGCAAGACTAGGCCAGCAGGGGAGGTCCGTTGGGGGTGAGATCAAGCCAGCAGGGGAGGGCAGTTGGGAGCTACCAGGCTGGCAGGAGAGGGCAGTTAGGGGTGATATCAGGCCAGCAGGGGAGGGCAGTTGGGGGCAAGATCAGGCCTGCAGAGGAATGCAGTTAGGGGCAATCAGGCAGGCAGAGGCAGTTAGGGACAATCAGGCAGGCAGGCAGGCAGGTGAGTGGTTAAGAGCCAACGGTCCCAGATTGCGAGAGGGATGTCTGACTGCCGGTTTAGGCCTGATCTCTGTGGGACATCCCCAAGGGGCCCCCCAATTGGAGAGGGTGCAGGCTGGGCTGAGGGAAACCCCCCTCCCATACACGAATTTCATGCACCGGGCCATTAGTACTAGGATATAGATATAGGTATAGGTATAGATATAGATATAGATATAGATAGATTGATTTCAGAGATGAAGGGAAAGGGAGAGAGAGATAGAAACATTAGTGATGAGGGAGAATCATTGATCAGCTGGCTGCCGCAGGCCTCCACTGGGGATCGAGCCCACAACCAGTCATATGCCCTGACCAAGAATTGAACCATGACTTCCAGGTTCATATATGGATGCTCAAACACTGAGCCATGACAGCCGGACTCAACCAAGTCCTTTAAGAAGGATTTACATTGTTAAATTATGAAATCTTTGGTTTTATGCCATTTTGTTCTGTGACATTTACTAACATTTCTCTGCCATTTTCTTTATTGTCAGTTTGGTTTTTATCTCCTCCATTGTTTGAGAAAGCATTTTAGTCTAT